TGATATGTGCAAGGGCCTCTTTTTCCTGTCTCTCCTTGTTCATTCCCCGGAAGGTTTCTCACCTGCAAGGGATCAAGAGTCCGCGTGCCCTAAGGCAGAGTGATATGAAGTCCAGGAAAAGAAAAACAAAGCAAAAGCATGGAGGGAGGAAAGGGGGCAGCATCCCTGAGAATTCGCTGTAGTTTTCAAGAATAAAGAACGCATAGAGGGGATCCTTCCTTTCCAAATATGTGTGCTTGTGGCTGGAATTGTCACAAGACCCCCAAATTGGGGTTTGCCTGGTTTCCTCCAAAGAGGCAAAGGGTTATCTGTCTCCTTAGGTGCAAAGACTTGTCCCACTGGCTCCTCCCAGAGGCAGATTTTATAACCAGGTGCACAGCAAGCATTTGGGGGATATGCTATTTGATCAGAAGCAGTTTTATGGAATCCTATGGTAGTGAGGTATTCTTAAGTCCACGGATGGTGATGTTGACAGAAGCATGACGGGCAGGAGATGTGTCTGTTTTACCGCAGACACACACCCCCCTCCTGCCAGGACTGCAAGGTCCAATGTCATCAACCTGCCACCAGGTGGCTGGCTGAACCACTGGGGAAGGTGCCATACTGGAGGCTCTTAGCGGCGTTGGTCTTCTCTGTTTGCAGGTCAAGCATATACTGCAGGAACGCGGGCAATAGTCGCCACCAGACTATCCACAGAGGGTACTTCTGGGTAACCAGGTGACAAATCATTGTTGCTGCCCTTTTTTGCTGTTGGGTCTTTCATGATTTCTCTACGACTATAGGCAATTCTTGTGCAATAAATAATAAAAGCAAATTTAAATATGGTCCAAGACGGTCGTTTAATGGGTTTTGGGGAACGAGGTGAGAGGGTGGGCAGGGCCCCCGTTAACTTGTACCCACGAACCTGAGATTCTCTTCTGGCCGTTTGATTACAGAAATAGTCACTGGAGCATCATCTCCCCGCAAGCACACTTCTGTTCATCTCGTCCCAGGAGGCTTACACCCCTGGGAAGCAGGCTGTGCAGAGGAAGGAACTGAGGCTCGGAGGAGGTCTTTTGGCCTCTCTCTCCTTACTCATTCCCAGGAGTAAGGCTCCCCACCTGCAGGAGAGAGGGAGTTCACAGGCCCTAATGTATGGGTAAGGTAAAGACCAGTAAAAGGGGAAACGTGTCAGAGGCATAGGGGAGGGGTGTCAGGTGGCAAATCTGAAGACTAGGAATGGATCTGGTTTTCAAAGTCACACACTGAAATTGTGCAGGGCTGGGATGGAAACGAGCAGTGGAATGCCCTGGTGTTTGCACCGTGGCCTCCAATCTGGCTCTTACGGGTACCGTGTCACTGAACTCTGTCATGGTACCAATGCCCAGTTGGAACCTGAGGTCCTCAGGGACTGTCAGCCTCCAAGAAGATTCCTCTCAGTGAAATAAATACAGGACACTTGATTTCCGCTAGCTGGAATCTGTGCTGTGGAGCGTTGAGATTACAGAGTCCCCCAAACGGCACCGAGAGGGCAGCCCATTTTTCATGACGTTACCAAACCTCCTATCTGAACCACACTCTGCCTTGGATTATAAAACCATTAAGCAAATCAATTTCCAAACTACATGGCAGTTTCCCTATCACTGGATTTAACTGGATCAGTGTTATGAATTCGATATCGACTTTGCCTCACGATTTACAGGAGGCGCAAACGTAGCCCCTGCGCTAGATGTTCAAACGTTAATATTTGACAATCTGCAGCTCTCATCACAATAGAAGTCTCCTTACATGTCAGAGGATCCAAACTGTGATTCTGAAAAGCTGAACTTTTGATTAATTGCACAGTAATGATGCCTTCTCTTCTACGGGGCCCTTGACTAGTCTCCTTTGATGCTTATCTGGTGAGTCTTTTTATCTCAAATTCTGTCAAAATGTTTTTTGTCACCATGTTACTTGAGTTGCAATGAGCACGGAGACTTTCCAAGAATAAAGACTCTCACAATGGTAAAAGACAAAAACCAAAAATCTCATAACACAAACATACAGCACAAGCTTCATTGTGAGCCAGGCATTGTTCTGGGGCTTTCTGCTCTGCATTCACTCATTCATCATTCATTCATAAGTAGGTATGGAGAGCCTACTAGACAGCAGGCATCCTTCCAGGCTTCAGGTATAGAACCAGAGTCCCTGCTCCTGTTTGGTGAGACAGTAGTAAACAAGTAAACAACACGCAGATAGGATCATTTTAGGCAGTGATCAAGGTAACAAATAAAGCAGAAAGGGGTTGAGGACAACTTTAGGAAAGGGGCTCAGCCGTGAAGGGTGTAACCGTGCCCTAGGCCGCTGGGATCAGACTGGGATGGAAAGCTCATGCACGCGCTGGTGTGCTGGGGGTGGAGGGTGAGTGGATGTCCAGAAGCGTGCAGGGGTGTCCATTCAGAGCTCCTCTCTCCTAGGCTACTCTCTTCCTCTGCATTTTTTTCTCCTTTCCAGAGTTTGCACCGACTGGTTTCTTCTCAGCCTCCAACTAACTCATGGCTAAGCATCCCTCTCTTCATAAACATTTGTGGGAGGTCCTACTGTGCTGTGTGTGCAGCCGCATCTCCATAAGCCAGTTCATGCGATCTTCACGGAGTCCATCCTGCAGCCCACTGTGACCCATGGATCATCTTTCTTAGTCAGGTTGGGGCTCTTGTTTTATATTAAGGCCTCATATTAGAGTCATTTTCTGAGCAAAGTTTCTGTTGCATTCAGCGGTTTACTTTTGTGCCCGCACAACCCTGTTTACTGATTTCTGCCTCTATACACTTTAACGCCTTTCTCACAAACTACCTTTATTGGTTGAGGTTTCCGAGGTACTCCCCTCTGGCATTCATTGCTGCACATCCTCCCTCTTCCTCCCCATTCCCACACTCACACTTCCCTCTCTCCTCCCCTCTCCTGCCCCTTCTTTCTTGGATAACTCCTTCAGGCAATCCAGAGCTGGCATTCCCTTGCAGGCCTTCTGGTGACTCTTACACACTAGGGAGGGATCCTTGACTTGGCCGTGCTCACAGCCCCTCCCCTCTGCCCAAGACAAGCCTGGAAAGAGTGGGGACGCACCAGGTACCAGGGGGCAGCAGGAATGAAGGGTTTCTATAATGGTGGTGTCCATGCGGGAGGGAGCGCCAAGAGTTAGGTTGAAAGTGCAGGGGACCCTCCTCGCTGTCCTCTGCCACTGATTTAACACCATCTAGTTCCTGCTTAGCTGTAGCTTTCCCTTCCTCTGCTGTCCCCCCACCCCACCCCATAATCCCCACTCAGCGCACTCAAGCCACATTTCACCTCTGAGCTTGTTGTTCTGCTACCTGGAGACGCTGTTCCTGACATTCACCTTCTTGCCCCAGCTTCTCACTTAGGTCTCACCCCAAGATGTCACCTCCACAATGAGGCCCTCCAGGACCAGCCACTGCAAAGAAGTTTCCCACTTCTAGCACGGCCGGCTGTTTTGTTTCCTCAAAGCATCGACCCAAATTGGCAGTTACACTATTTTTTTTTTTTTTTTTTTACCGGCTTCCACCTTTCCAGAATGTAAGCTTTGTGAGTGCAGGGACCTGGTATATGCCCGGTGGGTAGGAGCACACAGTCCCTCTCAATAGAGGCTCACTAGCTTGGGGTTTAGTCATTGAATGAACGAACAGAGACTCAAGAGAGGCAAGAGAGGTAATGACTTGCTACAGACCAAGTTAGGAGCCAAGCCAATCCCAGGAGCTCTTTTTTTTTTTTTTTCCTTTTAAAGATTTTATTTATTTATTCATGAGAGACACAGAGAGAGAGGCAGAGACACAGGCAGAGGGAGAAGCAGGCTCCATGCAGGGAGCCCGACATGGGATTTGATCCCAGGTCTCCAGGATTGCGCTCTGGGCCAAAGGCAGGCGCCAAACCGCTGGGCCACCCAGGGATCTCCCCCCTCCCCCAGGAGCTCTTTCTCTTTCTTCAACCCATTGCTCACCAGAGCACCCCTTGGCCTGGGAGGGGAGGGCAGCCCTCTCCACCGGGCACCGGAAAGCAGACAGGGAGCCACCCAGCCTGTGGACTCTCAGCAGCGCTTGGCCTTGGCCAACCCAGCAACTTGGGATTTTACTTCCAAAGCCGCGAAGCAGGGCTGGGGGGTGACCAGGGAATGCAAAGCTGCAGCGGCCAGGCCGACGCCCGAGGGAGGTCGACAGGTCGCCGGGGGGACGGGGGGCAGACAGCGCCCGCACCCGCTCGGGTCCCCCCGCTCGTTGCCCCAAGGCCCCCGGGGAGCGCGCGCGCGGCGGGGCTCGGCGGCTGCAGCGCGGGCGTCCGGCGGGGCGCGCAGGGGTGCGGGGCGGCGGGCGCGGGGGGGGGGGGCGGGGCGCCGCGGGGGCCTCCCGCCGTGACGGGGCGGGACAATGGGGCCCCACCCCGGCGAGGGAGGAGGGAGGGAGGGAGGGAGGAGGGCGGAGGGGGGGGCGGCGTGCGCTCGGCCCGCGGCGGCGGCGGCGGCGGCTGCGGGGCTGAGGCTGGAGCGGGCGGGGAGGGGCGCGGCGGGGGGAGCGCGGAGGAGGGCGGAGGCGGCGGCGGCGCGTGCGGCGGGCGGCGGGCGGGCGGGCGGGCGGGCGGGCGGTTGGCACCGGGCTTGTAAATAAACTGCGATGCTGCCTCGGGCTCGCCGGCCCGGGTGCCGCCGCCGCCGCCGCCGCCCCGGAGCGCGGGTGCCGGGCTCCCTCCGCCGCGCGCCCTAGCGCCTCCGCGCCAGCCTCGCGCGCCCTCGCCCGCGCCCGCAGCCCCCGGGGCCCCGCGGCTGACCCGCGCGGGATGTGACCCCCTGCACCCCCGCGTCCCCGGGGAGGCCCGCCTTCGCTGGCTTTTGGCTGGGGGGCGGGTGGGGAGCGGCGCGCGGATCATGGCATTGGAGTTCCCGGGCTTGCAGCCGCCGCCGCCGCCGCCGCCGCCTCGTCCACGCACCCGGAGCGCCCCTTCCCCCCGGAGCAGCAGCGGAGAAGGCGCAGCGGCCGGCGGGGGCGAGGCCGATGGGGCTCAAGGCGCGCAGGGCGGCGGGGGCGGCCGGCGGCGGGGGCGGCGGCGGGGGCGGCGGCGGGGCGGCTAACCCGGCCGGGGGGGGCGCGGCGGCGGCGGGCGACGAGGAGCGCAAAGTGGGGCTGGCGCCGGGCGACGCGGAGCAAGTCACCTTGGCGCTCGGGGCCGGAGCGGACAAAGACGGGACCCTGCTGCTGGAGGGCGGCGGCCGCGACGAGGGGCTGCGGAGGACCCCGCAGGGCATCGGGCTCCTGGCCAAGACCCCCCTGAGCCGCCCGGTCAAGAGGAACAACGCCAAGTACCGGCGCATCCAAACTTTGATCTACGACGCCCTGGAGAGACCGCGGGGCTGGGCGCTGCTGTACCACGCGCTCGTGTGAGTACCAGGCGCTCGGGGGCGGGGGGGGCAGCCCCGGCCGTGCCCTCCGCGCCGCCCCGCGCGCTGTGTCCCGCGTCCCCCCCCCCACCCCCGGGCCGCTGTCTCGGGTGTCGGACGCCTGGGGCTCAAGAGCGAGCCCAGCGTGCAGACCCCGGGCTCCTTTGGAGATGGGATCGGCGCCTCTGCGGGCGCGCGGGCGCGCGTGGATGGCACCGTCTCCCGAGGTCGGTATCCAAGCTCCAAAGAATGATGTGGTTTCCCCCAAATTAACGCGGAGGAGGAACGGGATCAAGCCGGATCCCTCCCCTACGCTCTGTGTTGCTGCTGGGGTGGGTCCCTTCACCTGGGGTGGCTGCTGAGTTTAGATGCTGCATCCTGGAGTTAGGTAGGGATGGGAGTGGTAGGTGCACTGCCCACAGTGGGGTGTGTGTGTGTGTGTGTGTGTGTGTGCCCGCGCGCGCATGAGCGCGGTATCAGTTGCCTGCTTGTGCTACCGTGTTCTGAGGGCTCCATCCTGGTGTGGAACCTGGGGTTGCTCTAATCGGGGGCTTGGACTGGTCAAAATGTGTGTCTTTCGGTTATTTCTGTTTTTACCGAAGTGAATGAACAGGAGAGAGAATATAGAGAATGAGAGGATCTCCGGCTCCAGCCTACACAGGGGAGCTGGGAGCTTAATGCCAGGAGATGAGGGCCCGGGGTTACTTTGGCTGAGGCGCCTCCACGATCTGGTCCCCATATCCCCTCAACGTCAACTGCTGCCAGGGAGGACAAGGGTGCGGGACACGTGAAGGGGCCTGGGCTGGAGGTTTGACCCCAGGCACCCTTCCCCTAGAAAGAGTCTGCTTGCTAGGCAGGATGAAAATGTGTTGCCAGGGAAGGAAGATGGAACTCCCTTGTGCACCTGACACTCAGGACAGGAAATCTCCTTGTGTACTTGGAGGGTGGGTGGGGTGCGGAGAGGATGGCAGTGGTGACTCCTCACCCAAGAGAGAAAGTCAGAGCTGTCAGCAGACACCCCGGGGCTGGCAGGGCATTTCCAGTTACCCCCTGCCTCCTCCTGTCTGTGGCTTAGTCATTCTGATGGCTGCTTTTTGGGAAGCCCTGCATTTCCAGGGTTTTGGCGGGGAACCGCCCGTAACTTTGGCCCCTCTCGTGCCTGTAGTGGCACATATTCCTCTATGTCCTCCTCCGATTGACCTGTGAGTGTTGTGATCCCCGGGAGTTCAGGGAGACTTGGAGTTGCTACCTGCCAATCATCTCTGGCTGGAATGGCTCTTCCAGATTTGGCCACCAGGTGGGGGCGTCTGCACAGGACCTCAGACTTGGCAACAGGTTTCTTGTGAGAGGTTACAGAAGCCTGGAGAGGATGCCTCCCTGAAACTGAGGAACTGGCAGCAGGAAGGGGAAGGCATCCAGCCAGGAAGCACCGATCTTGGATGGTCCAGCCTCTGGCATCCACTTCCGCATGAATTTGCAAGTGTTAGTGGCTGGAGAGAGGGGCTGTCAGGGGAGTTACTTTTCCATTTGCTCTCTTCAGGCGGTAAAAAGGGATTAAAAATGTATTCCTCTCTGTTTCTAGCACCGTGTATAGTTCAATTGAACTGACGGGGGTTCCTTTAAATTAATTGATTCGTTAAATTGATAGTGGAATGTGATAGTAAAAAAAAAATTGAGTGCACGCAAACATCCAGAGACACAGCGTGGCCTTTTGCATGTAAATGGCGTTCACTATTTATTGGTTTCTGATTTCCAAATCTGGAGTTCCACTGCCGCTTGTGTGTGTGGGGTCCCTCTTCTCCTCCCACTGTTCCCAGACAGCACCCCTGCCCTGCCTTGCCCAATGGGGGCGGGAGGGAAGGGATAGCTAAGGCCTGTTATTGACGGAGCTTCAATTGTATCCTTCTTTTCAGTTATTCCATCTAGCAGGAGCAGGCTTGAGGAGGCCAAAACCTGTAGCCTCGTCTCCCAGAGAGGACCAGGAAAACTGGAGAGTGTGGGATATGGGAGAGGTGACTACCTAGCCAGATGCTTTCAGACATGCAAATCATTTGTTTCATTGAACTCTCTCCAGGATCTTACGAGGTGGGCATTGCTGTCTACATTTTATAGATGAGAGGAAAAAAAACTTCAATAAAACCACTTGTCCAAGATCACACAGCTACTGTTCTGGCTGCTTACGTCTGACTGCAGTGGGTCAACTCTGTTTCTGAGCTGGATCCCAGTTCTGACCTTCTGCCCACAATTGCAGGGCTCTGGTTAGTTCACTAGGCATCAGTGGTTCCCCCTCACCCCACTGATGACACAGGGCTCTGAAGAATACTTCTGACTTAATTTGCTAGCTCACAGCTGGCAATGGCTAGGAATGGAGTTTGGAAACCAAACAGTCAGAAATCAGGGAAGCATGATGTTAGGGAAATGTGGAATGGGCTAAGGTGACGGTGGGATTGCAGGTTCTGATTAATCGGGGATTAAATAGGAAACCCTGTTAGGTTGGACATCAGCTCCTGATGCCGAAGCATACCTAGTCAGTGGATGCACCATACGTCCCTCCTCCAGCTTAGGAGGAAGTGCAGTCAAGTGAGCAAATTGAACTTTTCATTGATGATTCAGGATTTTGCAAGGCACTGTAATTCGTGCTTCAAAGCATCCATTATCCTGTTCTGGGCTGTAGCTAATGGCATAGGGGGCCAGGAAATTGGGCTGACCACGGGCTCACAGCCTAGTGCATGCCTTTATTATTATTATCATTTTTAATGAACCAGACCCCTGAGATGTGATTCCCCTCCCCCTCCTGTCCTAAAGGTAAAATACAGCAAATGTGGAGACCAAAGGCCCCCACCCCAACCCTGTTCCCTTTGCCTTAAATGCTCGTCCCTATTTTTTCCTGGTTACCCACTTTCACCTTGACCCAGCTCTGGAGTCAGGCTTTTCCCTGGCTCCCCCACCCACCCCAGGTTGAGCTAGAATTGCCCTCCTCTGTCATGTCCTCAGCGCTGGGATTTTGCACATTGCATTAGATTGATCTGCTTGCTTGTCTCTGCCTTTGAACTGAGAGCTACTTAAGAGTAAGGGCCATGGTGTTCTTTGGCGTTCTGTTTCCAGCGGGGTCCGTGGTGGTTACTTGGTAAGCATTTACTGAATGGATGAGGGAAAGAATACTCTCGGTTAACCAAGACTTTGCTCTGTATGGCTTTACTGTTATCACCACCCTTACCACCACAACCAGTAGGTACAGTCAGCATTATAGGATTTTAGTGAAGAGATTTAGCTTGCGGAAGTCTTAAAATGGACTAAGGCTGGGAGGGAGGAGGTAGGGAGGGAGGCCCCTCGTGAGGCTGATCCCTGCTCTGCTTCCTGAGCCTGAAAAAGATCCCGCTGCTGTGGAGAATGTGTTGGACTTGGAACTCCCATATGGACCTCCTGAAGTCTCTGTGACTCTGCGTGGCCTGTAGGTTGGGGATGATTACACTGCCCTGTCACAGGGTGGTGTTTATAGGCTTAAAGCATATGCATGAAATTAGGCCAGCATCAGGTACTGAATATTCATTGGTTGATTCTGAATAGGGACGCCTTAAAAGCACATGCCACTGTGCTGCTGTGACATTGCCCAGGGACTCCCCTTCCCTAGCCTGTCAGCAGAGAGAGATGCTGGCTTCATCTTGTCACTGTGGCAGGATTGACACTCTGCCCAAGCCTCCTGCTGCCCTCACCACCTCTCTGCAGCCAGCTGGGTATGATTACTCACTCACCTGTTGACAGACCAAGGGGACATGGTCACAAGAAATACCCACTGTTTGCATTCCAAGGTGGGTGCCCCCCCACAACCTGGGGCAGGCAGGCAGGGGTGAGAAATGGGGCACAAGGACCCGGCAGCTTACTAGAGGCTGATCAGTGTTCCACGTTCTTTCTCCATTCACCTGTTGATGGACACATAGCTCATTTGTACATCTTGGCTGTTGTGAATAGCTTTTCAGCGACTGTGGAAGTGCTAATATCTTGGAGATCCCGATTTCAGTTCTTTTGGATACATAGCCAAAGTTGGGAAGTTGGGGTGGTGGCTGGATCATATGGCGGTTCAATTTCTAATTTTTTGAGGAACTTCCATATTGTTTTCCATAGTGGCTGCACCATTTTGCATTCCCATCCACAGCGTGCAAGGCTTGAAATTTCTGCCCCTTCCTCACCATCCCTGGTTTCTCTTGTTTTTTTTTTTTTTGTTTTGTTTAGTTTTTGTTTTTTGATCATAGCTATCCTGATGAGTGTGAGGGATAGTTTCATTGTGTCAATCTCTATTCAGCAGAAAGAGCATGGTCTTTGGAGCTGGACCTGGGTTTGATCCAGTCTGCTATGTCCTGGCTGTGTGACCTGGACCAACTTACTTTCCTGGATTTCAGTTTCTTTATTTCTGATATGGAGATAGCCATGCCTACTTCCCGAGGTTGTTGTGAAATTGAATTGAGGTGGCCGATATACAATGCCTGAACCTTGCATTGTGTTGGTTTGCAGCCTTGGGTGTTCCCTAGGGTAAATATACACCTGGCCCCCTCTGCAGACAGAGGGCAAGGGGAAAGGAAAGAGAGATGTGGACCACTCCAGGTCCCCAGGTGGCATGTATAATAAGCAATGGGACTTACACGGGAGGCTTGTCTTAGTCACTGAAAGGGAATGGTAGACAATTGGAGTATATGGACCAAGGACGGGGCAGGCGCTCCATCCAGCTCACAGGTCCTCGCAGTGACCTCCCCCAAAACACTGCAGATAGTCCGTAAATACTGTTTCCTTCTTGCTTCTCCTCTCATGTTATATTTAACCTGCCTTCCTCTTGCCCCTCTCATCAAATCCATGCCCCTCTTCTCTCTCTAATAAATTTTTTTTAAAGACTCTTTCTGAACTCCTTGCTTTCTTCCTGGCTTTTCTTTTCTTTTCTTTTTTTCTTTTCTTTCTTTCTTTTTTTTTTATATGATACTTTCAAACCGCTGGAGTCAGTGAAGAAGTCA